TAAGATTAAGCTCAATTTTAAGAGCATGGCATCAAATCTTTAGAGTCTGTCGCTCTATTAGGGCATGTGCATACTGAACTCTCTATTAAGAGAAGAGATATGCTTAAACCTCTATTAAGTAATGAGTTTAAGAATTCTTGCACAAGGGCAAATAAGCCAGGGAAAGAATTCCTATATTGAGATAATCTTGCAAAGCTGATCACTGAATCAAAGATAGAAACCATGGTTATGGCATCACAGAGTGTATATGACAATAAAAATATCCGATATCACCCTTACAGGCAAATACAGCATTTTTTACCGTACAGAGGGAGGGTTGGTCAGACAACTCATCATCCCTCCCATTACAAGAATCCAGGTTACCCTCTGGGAAACAGACCTTATCAGGTCAAGCTCAACAAGAAAAGAGGTGGACTGAAAAGAGAGTAGAGACATTAACTACATTACTACATTCAAGGCAGGGAGACTTAATAATAATAATAATAATAATAATGTCATGTTGTTAGGCGCACGTATCCATCCCTAGTAGGGGTGCTCGCGGCGCCGTTTTCCACCTGCCGAGTGTACATGTAGCCATTTTCCGCATTATTATGTAAATTAATTAATTTAATTATTTAATTAATCATTAACGTATATTTATTTATGTCGGACCAGACAGGATGGAAAAAATAGGCAAAATAAGATGCAACTACTCTTCGGGGTCACCATCCATCACCACCCTGGCGCAATCCCGGACCTCTGCCTAGGTGGCTCGAACAAAGGAACGGGAAACACATTTGCCCTGCCACAGACGACCGGGTGCTCAGGAGTACATCTAGATGCATCCCTAGCTTGTACGTTATACGTTGCTTCATTGGTAGCCAATGTAATTCCCTGAGGACTGAAGTTATGTGATCGTGTTTCCTCTTTAGAGTTATAAGTCGGGCAGCACTGTTCTGGACACGGTGGAGTCCAGAACACATTGCCAAGGTGGCAAAGTATAACTTCAGATGAAGAGATACTTCACATTTTTAAAGGATTCACAATAGAATTTAGAGATCCTGAATGTCCTCCCATGCAAATCTCTGTCAGACAACCCACATTAAATTCAGTGCATAGCCACGTGGTGTGTAAAGAAAATTCTAAGCTTATCACGAAACAGGTAATTGAAATAGCTCAACATGAGCCAGGTGAACACATATCACCGATTTTCGTTGTGCCAAAAAAGAATGGAGAGTTCAGATTAATATTAAACTTGAAAAAAATTAATGTTTATGTAGAGTACCATCATTTTAAGATGCAGTCGTTTGATACGGCATTACGACTGGTCTCCCCACACTGTTTTATGGAATCCATAGCTTTAAAGGATGCCTACTATGGGGTATCGGTAGCGCAAGAGTATAGAAAATATCTTCGTTTCCTGTGGGATAAAAAGCTTTATCAATTCACATGTCTTCCAAATGAATTATCCTGTGCACCAAAAAAGTACACAAAACTTATGAAACCAGTATATGCAACACTAAGACAACAAGGGCATACCATCACAGGCTATCTGGATGACATGCTAATAATTGCGAACACAGAAACAAAACTTAAAGAGTCTATAGGAGTAATTCTCTCTTTATTGCTAGAACTGGGGTTTATTGTTAATTGGGACAAATCTATAACATATCCATGCCAAAGAATACAGCATCTAGGCTTTATTTTTGATTCAGTAGAAATGAAGGTTACTTTACCAAAGAAAAAGAGGACAATATAAAACATATGTGTCTAAATATGATTAACAAAAAAGATGATACGATTAGAAGGGTAGCCAAACGCATTGGTAGCATTGTGGCAAGTTTCCCAGCAGTGAATATGAGCCCCTTTATTACAGAAATTTAGAATTTCGCAAAAGATTTAGCTTTAAAAAGAAACAAGGGCAATTTTGATGTTAAAATGTGTATTACAAATAAAATGAAAGAGATTTAAGTTGGTGGACCACAGGATTAGTAACCAATTCAAAAATATAATTGAAGTTCCCCAAATATCATACTGTCTTCAGACGCTTCAAATGAAGGTTGGGAGGTGCTTTAGAAGATGAGAAAGTTCGAGGCAGGTGGCTTGAGCGGGACAAATCTCTGCATATTAATCACCTGGAGTTATTGGGGGCTTTCTTGGTCTTAAAGCCATTTAAAGAGAAGATTAATGGAAACAGAAATGGGCTCCTAATGGATAATACTACTGCTTTAACTTATTTAATTCACAAGGGATGCCGAAAACAAGAGTTGAATGAATTAACTTACACAATTTGGAGGTGGTGTAGTGCATTACACATTGATTTATTGGCAACCCATATCCCAGGCTCTCAGAACACGCTTGCGGATTTTGAGAGTAGAATTTTCAATGAATGTTGTCAATGGTCTCTAAATGAAAATATTTTCAATAGCATAATTGGAAAATTGGGAAATGTTGATATTGATTTATTTGCATCTCGTTTAAATGCTAAATGTAAAAGATATGTTGCTTGGAAGAGATTCAGATGCAGAATTTGTTGATGCCTTCTCCCAAAGATGGAGTAATTTTACAGCTTATATTTTCCCTCCTTTTAGCCTAATTGCAAGAGCCATACAGAAGGTAAGGACAGAGGAGGCAAAGGCAGTGCTAGTTGTGCCATTATGGCCAACCCAACCATGGTTTACGATATTTGTGGACCTATTGATAGACAATCCCATAATCCTACCAAAGATGAACTCATTGCTAACACTGGAGTACAAGAAAAAATTACATCCGTTGCGCAAGAAGCTGGTATTGATATCTGCAAAATTATCAGGGAAATGTACGGAGAGAGAAATATTTCTCAAAGGACTACCAATTTACTCCTCCAATCATGGAAACCTGGAACCCACAAACAGTATTCAGTATACATCAGAAAGTGGCATGTATTTTGTATCCAACGAAAAATTAATTATGTTGAACCCCCTATAGAATCAGTTTTAGAGTTCCTTACAATACTCCATTTAGACCAAGTCTTAGGCTATAGTGCGAGTAACACCGCAAGGAGTGCGCTGTCACAGATAATAGTTTGGAAAGATAAATGCACAATTGGTACTCACCCTCTGGTTATAAGAATGCTAAAAGCAGTATATAATAGAAACCCACCTGCGCCAAAATACTCTTACTTGGGATGTATCTCGTATGTTAGATTGTATTAGTTTACTGGGTGAGAACACCAATATGCAACTAAAAACATTAACTCTAAAGGTGGCAGCACTTGTTGACAGAGGGCAGGGCCCAAACCTTGGCTTGCTTACATCTAACATGTATGATTAAAACAACTTTAGAATTCCAGTTTGCTATTGGTAGATCGTAATTAAAAGAAAGTAGACAGGGCTATATGCATGCACCTATACATCTTAAAGAATATCGAAATGATAAGACATTATGTATATATTCAGTTTTAGACACTTATTTAGAATGTACTAAAGATTTACGGGGTGAAGAGACAAAATTGTTTATCAGTTATATGAAACCGCATAAGGGAGTTACTTCATCTACTATAAGTAAATGGATTAAAACTATGATGGCAAAATCTGGAATTGATACAGATGTTTTTACATCACACAGTATTCGGTCTGCATCTACATCGCATGCATATAGGACAGGCGTGCCAATACACAATATTCTTGCTACAGCAGGATGGAGTAATGTAGCAACTTTTGCAAAATTTTACATTATGCCAATTGCTAAAGAGGGCACGTTGAAGGGTTTATTGCTATAACACATTGAAGTTCAATAATATTTGAGATTTGATTAAGGCCTAATATTTTGTTGTGTTACGGTGTTTTACAAGTTCCCTTGTAAGTTTCGTTTAACGTGAATAAACGAAGCAATAGCTTTATAAATGGATGGATGACTTTTGTACAAATTCCTTTTTGTTTTTGTTTTAGTTTATGTGTAGAATATCCAGCCAACAGGATTGTTTCCAGTTGCTTTGAAATCCCATGGAATTCCTGCATCAGCCCGGAGGGCAGTGTAGAATTAAACAATTAAACGAGACTTACCTGTAAGCTAATGTTTGGTTGTGGTTCTACACTGCCCCCTGGTTGATACTAGGAATTACATGCCTCACCCTCTCCCACCCTGATCTGCTCTTGTAATATGCTTATGGTAATTCAATTCATTTTATTGACAATGCTATGAATATGATATGATAAAGTAATATACTTTACTCATCATAGAACATATACTTACCCCGTGATGCCCATGGTGACCATGATGATGACCTCTGCGCATTCTGTTGTTTTTGATTTCCTAAAACGGATTAAACTGGTTAGAAACAGGCCAAGTTACGGAATAAACGCTGAATCGGAATCGATGACCCTCCCTTCTAGTGTGTCGATGCGTCATCGGACCATTCCATTATTATATAGCCACTGTGCAATCTAAGGCATAAAACCAAATTGTCGTAATAATACGGGTCTGTCTCTTATACACATCTAGATGTGTATAAGAGACAGCTCTTGGTTGGTACTACTACAGTACTACCAATCCCTCTTCCAATCCCAACCACAAAAAATTAGCCCCAAATTGCAAGGAGACCTGTACATATATTTAGTTTCTACATTAAAAAAATAAAGTTTTTTATCCCACCCCCTCATCTTCTACAAATCTATATACAAGCCTGCGTTTTGGTAATCTTTCTAAAAAAAAAAAAAAAGGCCCGCCCCTTCACTTCAATATTTACATTGTGACAGCAAACACACCATTATTTTTTAGGCCTAATATGATATTATATAATTTTGTAAAGTGTTTTGTAAACTGAAATGTATATTTATAATATGTTGATCTCGACATTCTAAACTTGATTTATTTTTGCAAAGCAAACCATTCCATGCATTACATATACAACCATATAAATATATATATACATATATATATATTTATATATATATATATATTAAATAGTTTTGCATTATGTGGCCGTTTGCTGTTTTATGTGTTTTTCCCATTTGCCTTTTAAAATTTATATATACATATATATATATATATATAGAACATAAAAATCACAGCTAATACAAGCTAATTTTCCATTACAATATTACTACTAATAATATTCATAATAATATGAGCTTGACGTCGCAGATGGTTGCCTTCTTGCTTGTCGATAACGTGTTTTAATAAGTATTCCACGGTAGAAATCACTTTCTGCCTCTTCGCTAACTATCTTACTCGGAAACCACCCAATTTTTCCGTCCTTCTGTCGCTTCCCTCTCGTCCAATCTACATATGATGAAAAAAGTAAATATTATTGCAAGTCACTCTTAAACAAGCAAAGAATAGGGAAGCTATATGCCAGATTTCTTACTGCATTTTATTGTCGGTGTTGGCAGCAGATTGATGGTGGGATTGTTGCCAGGTGTTAGGTATGTCATTAATTTATTTAACTACTTATGCTTTTTTTTTTGTAAAAAATAATAATGAACACGCACTAACAAACGTGTGATTACATGATCTTAATCTACAAGGCCGATCAACAATGTGAAGTAGGGAATTCCACTATAAGTGTGTTTAGTTGACTTTTCTCGCACCAGCGAAAAAGCACATGATTTTGTTCTCATTCTTTGGTTTTCCCGCACCAGCAGAAAATTTATTGTTTTTGTTCTGATTTGTTCCCATTTTTTCTATCCAAGGTTCTTTACGGTAGTCTCTTCTTCCTTGGTCTCAGTCGCCTCATGCATAATGTAAACGTATTAGGTGTCATGAATATTTATAATTAACAGAAACTTCTCGGCAAACTGCAAATTTCCTATAGGCAAGTGCGGTGCCAGCGGGTCTAGCCTAGGTTTGTATTATGTTCCTTAAAAGATTATTATTGATGAGAAAGGTTAGAGGTGAGTAAAAAAGAGGAAGAGGAATTAGTCCTAGGTGACGTCAATGTAGGCCTATTAGTATATTCAGAGTTAGAGGTAGTGCATGTCAAACCTACATTAAACCTACGGTACGAGAAAGAGACCACATGTAGGCCTAAGCTAGGCCTAGATTTGTTGATGGACATCAAGACGCAATTATGCACAAGCAGGTTAACTTATCATTATATATCACATACAATAACAATACTAATACCTTTATTTCTAGATTTAAATTATATTATTATTATTATTATTATTATTATTATTATTATTATTATTATTATTGACATTATTATTATTATTATTATTATTATTATTATTATTATTATTATTATTATTCAAAAGTGAAAAATATGCCTTAGGTCTAGCTAGAGTTAAATTAAAATAGTATGGGCCTAGTTGTAGAAGTATAGCTTGCCTATGCCTAGCCTTGAGGTCTAGGAGTAGCTAGGCATAGTGATTTTATTTTCTAGAGAATAAGCTAAAATAGGCCTAGGCCCACTGCCAAATTTATACTGTAATTTAAGCCTAGAAATAAATTATTGTGCATAAACCTAGGCCATAGGTCTAATTATTATTGTATATTAATATTATAAGTTAACCTTCTTTTGCATATTTGCGTCTTGATGTCCAGCAACAAATCTAGGCCTAAATGTACAATGCCTCTTTCTCGTAGGCTTTTCTACTGCAGCTAGGCCTATATGGCATGCACTAACTCATGGTACTACATTGACTTTATCTAGTCCTAAGGTAGGACTAATTTCTCTTCCTCTTTTTTACTCATTTTCTCTCACATCCAAATCTTTCTCATCGATGGTAATATCTACACGGCGGATCTTTTCAGGAACAAAATAAGGCCCCGCTATATACTACACTGGCACCGCACTTGCCCCTAGATAGAAAATTTGCAGTTACCGAGAAGTTTTAGTTGATTATAAATATTCATGTCTGAACTCAATGTAGTGTGATGGCTAATGAGTTTACATTATTCATGAGGCGACTGAGACCGAGGAAGAAGAGGTTACCGTTCTTTACTTATATAGGTTTCTGTATTATGATTTAAATCACATATTGTTATGATTTTTTAAATGTTTTTTTTTTACTTCGTAATTTCAACATCCATTCTCCTTATGGCAGAGAGAGAGAGAGAGAGAAAAAAAAGCTCCCAGCGAGAGCGTGTGTCTATACCCTATACTGCCTAACTGTATTATGTTTACTAATAAAGCATTCACATGGGATTCGATCATCAGTAAATGTGTGGTGTTGTATTTTTTTTAATGAATTTTGTACAGTAATAAGGCACTTATGACACATGACCCATTATGCACCTCCTCCGGATTTACATAAAAAAAAACATAGTGTCTTTGCTCCTGAGGAAGCATATACACAAAAAAAAACAATGTTCTGTTTCACAATCAGACATAGTAAATCTAGTTATAAAAATGTTTGTATTTGTCTTAATATCAATTTGATAATATGAAAAGACAAAATAAAATTAAAGGCCCTCCCCCCATGGCAAAAGGGCATAACTGACATTTTTGGCGAAAATGAGTTATATAGCCTAGTGGGGTCAGTACATCATGTTACACATGTTGTCCCCCGGGCTAGATAGGGGCATGGCAAAGGGGCATAACTACACAATTTTCAGTAAATCCCCAAGGCAAAAGGGCATAACTGCAGAGATAGGCTGTGATACGCTGAAGCGTGACGTTCTTTCAACAGCCAACCAATCAGAAGAGAGCTTTCTCCTTGGTTACAATGAAGGTTGCATGTTAAGTTGTATTATTTTTATTATTCTTACTGTTTGTGTATTCACAATTTGTAAATAGAAATTGGTTAAATAGTATGATTCTTGACAGTAGCATATGTCTAGTTAATGTTAGGCAAACATGATAAGCCTAGTTAATTTATGCTATATAATCTTGCCTTACTTTGAATGGCAACACTTTAATACTATGGAAATAAACTATAGGTAAATAGTAACTGTTTAATAAAAATAATTAACCATGGCAGAATAACAATTCACATTTTAACTAGAAATAACAGTGACAAAGAGGGACAACTAAAACGATTATTTAGCAAATACCTATGGCAAAGAGGCACAACTACAACATTTATTTATAGCAAATGGCATGACAAAAAGGTATAAATGCACAGTTTACTCGAATCAACTGTGTTCACTAAGCAAACAACAACTTACATTTCAATCTAAATCTATATATATAATACATTTTCTAAATATTTTATTAGAATATAAAAAAACAATAATATTCGTAATCATTTTATTATTGAACTTGGATCATAGAAAAGAATTGCTAATAATAATAATAATAATAATAATAATAATAATAATAATAATAATAATAATAATAATAATAATAATAATAATAATAATAATAATAATAATAATAATAGGCCTAATTTATATTGGTAATTACATGACCTAAAATATAAATTTATTATTTTACTTTGTAAATAAAATTTTAAAAATAATTGTAATTCTTGTTTAACGTACACATAGAAACACTCACATGCGCATCCTAACTAAACAGCAGTTCTATTTCATAAGTCAAAAAGGCTTTGTTGATACATAATAGCATACTAATGTTAATTCATTTTCTTGTTTGTATACTTGGTTAGCCTATACATGGGTTTTTAATCGTTTGTAATTTTAGTATTTATTATTTAATGCGTATTGTACATTTATTTTATAGTTTATACATGACTAACATATGAAATTATATATTGAATCTTATTTTTGAAAAATCTGACTCAAAATTGCGTTGAAAGGAACTAAACTGGGTACTTATATCCTTTTGCCAAAGTTTGTCAAAATGTCTTAAATCAGAAAACCCAAGGCAAAAGGGCATAACTGACATTTTGAGCGTAAAAATCAATATTTAGAGAAAAAAATGTGTGCTACAAATACTGAAACACATTTTAGGGCTAAATAAATTACACGTTTTCCTTAATATCTCCAAAACAGCAAATTGTCAGTTATGCCCTTTTGCCATGGGGGGGGGGGGGCAGTATATGTATAATACATTCTATTACTTTAAGGCGAACTTATGCTCCTAATTTAAGACGAATGAGCTGTTATGACCTTTTTTTCTCCTCATTATTTTAAAGGTTTTGATTTTTATCGATTTTATTAGAAAGCATTCTCATTACTATTTTATAAACATCGTTGATATGCATATTTATAATATATGAATAATAATTCATTCACTTGATATTACCTATTAAATCTCTCTGTTTTTGTAGACATATAATTTGATGTTTTTGCATACAAAATAACTAGGCTTTTCCTCATTGACATAATGAGAACTGATGTTAAAATATAATGTTACATAGGCCTTGGTATAAAAAAACGAATAGTAAATATTTGTTATTACTTTCTTAACTATGCTGGATTTTGCATTCCTTTCTATCTAAAAAATCCCCTTCTCAGCCGCAAAATAAGTTCTATAAGGATGATTACGGATGATTCATGAGATTGTGCTTCACCACCATACGGACAAAATACATGCGTGTGGTTAAGACCTTAAATGTAGTCACCTCTCTACCCTATGATGCTTAGTTCGGTTAAGCATATGGATAAGCTGGTCATTAGGACCTCAGTAGTAGTTTTTCAAAGAAATATAAATGATTATTATACCTTCACCACGTGATCGTTCTGTTTCCAAAATTCCCACAGTATCGTTCACATCAAGACACAGCTCGTTTTTTCGGTCACTAGAAAATGCTTCTGATACAATTTTAATCGGATGCCCTGAAATAATAAAATCAATTAAGGTTAAGCCTATTTGATTACTGAATTAAAGTACTAAAGTAATACAATGAAGTATACACATATTTATGTGTAACACATACAATACTTAAAACTATCCTACATCTACCACACAAAATACCGCATTACAGTAATCAAGGTTAGGTGCATGCTACTATGGCTTTCTTATAACTACAAATGCATTAAAAACTATACTTTTTTATAAAAAAAAAAAATCAAATGACAAGAAACCATTTTAATTTACGTGCGTTATAAAACGAATGATAAATTGTATTTATTCATGCCATGAAAAGAATATTTTCATTCGTTGAACGCTTGACTTTGGAACAATTTTATTTTTATGTATTTATTTATTTATTTGTTCTTTATACTGTATTGCCTCTTCAATAATATGTTACTGTTTTCCCAGATGGCCCAGTAGTGTAGGCATCAAACATTAAAATCACAAGAGAAAAAACACAGAAATATATTTACATATAAAATTGATGGAAAAGAATTACCTACACCCCCTCCCCACTCCTGCATTCAAAATTTAAGAACCCCTAAAAGTAAATCTTCTTCTACCAGATCTAGTTCTGAATTATAGGGAAATTGTATTATCATAATGCCGATGAGAAAGCTTTAAAGATATTTTGTTATTAAACACAGTATTGTAAACAAGTGAATTGAAAGTGTTATCAAACAAATTAAACCCTTACTGTAGTCGTCGTATACCCCATTCTCTCCTTCAGAAACCATAAGAGCTTTCTTCCATTCACCTAAATCACTGTTGAGTGGTGATACATAAACACGACATTAGTCAATCAATGCAATAACGAACACAAACTGATGAACTGAGATACACATTAATAGTTTGTGAATAAAATAAAACTGATTTTATTTGAAAGAATTTTGTCTAGCAAAGCTTGAGCGAAAAATAATTGAAGATTTAGTAATTTTTCTCAATTGTATTTTAGTATTTCTTACTGTAAATGAAAGGTACAGAATTAAATAAAACATCATATTAACTTCTTCAAAAACAATTTATTTAAAACGTGTTTTTCGGTGTTTTACGTCAAATTAACCATGTTGCTATATGCTTACGCAAATGTATTAGAGTGAAGACCTATTGTATAGTCAGTTGGGTTGTCTTTGCCCTCATCTTTGTCGTATATCCACATTTTAAACATCAGTCTTTTATCGGGCATCCAGCTCTCCCTGTTATTTGTGTCAATAAACTCTACGTCAACATAGTTACGGTCGTAACAGTTCAAAACTGTCTCTCTAAAGTAAAAAAAATAAACATATCTATCCATTCATGGCACAATATTTATAATGAAATATAAAATAGTCAATGCATGAAATGTTTACTGACCAACTATTTACTTTATTATTATTATTATTATTATTATTATTATTATTATTATTATTATTATTATTATTATCCTCATCATCATCATCAGGGGTCTCGCCAGTTATACTTAAGCGTGGCGAGGACGCCACGCTTAGGCAAAATACGCAAAGATTGCACTACGCTTAAAGAATTATCGCCACGCTAAAATAAATTTGTACTAGATTTTATTCAAAACGTTACAACAATAAAATTAATACCATAGTGTCAAACTTCGGCAGTTCAACAATGCTCCCACCTCTTTTTCAAGCTCTCTTTTTCAATCGCATATCGATCGGTCGATGCTAAATATTCAGCTGGATAGGGTGCGACTCCGTACCGTAAAGTAAGCGTGACAATCGGTAGATAGTACCGTGTAAAAAATGTGAGTAACCAGCCGTGCGTGCGCAAGCTAACAAAAGAAGGCATAGGCTAGAACTGGTTTCATATTTAGGCCAGCATGTAGCATTGACTAAATTTCAATATAGCCAAGTCTTGGGTTACGATCTTTATTTGGGGGATTTTAGTACTATTGCTGGGGCAAATGCAGACTGTGCGATCGCAACCCCTAAATTGTATTTAGAATAATTATTACTGTATTATATGCCTATTGTTGATTATGAATTACCGGTAAGATTTTTAAGGTATGAGGGTGCAATTTCCCACCTCAGCCCCCAACCACATGGTGGGGCAGAGGTGCTATGAACTTCCATGCACCCACTACCTCCAAATCCTGCATCCGCCCCAGTAATGAAAATCTAGAGCAGTGGCGTCATTATGAAAGAGACATCAGAAAAATAATTAATATTTAAACATTTAAGTTCAAGCCGAGTTTTTTGTTAAAGATCCATGATGTCAATTTTTTTAAACTACAATGTTGGGGTCCTCGTAAATGGGGGCCCTGGCGCTCCGTACCTCCCCCACCCCTATCAGCGCCCGAGTGACGCCACTGATCCAGAGCATAGTCCCGATCTTAGCTTATGATCGCGAAATACGGTAATTAATCTGAACGGCAGGCTATCTTGTTGGGTCAGTTCACTCTACTAAAAAGTATCGTCGGATGTTGGTAAAAATATCCATTATGATTTAAGAACGAGGGAAGAGAAACAAAAATGATACATCCCCACTGACTCTTTGCTTTGAACATCCTATGATCACCACCATTTTTTCTCTTTTGTGGCAAAAACCACCACATCTATAATTCATCGATATCATAAATCATAATTTAATGTACACATTTACAATTGACATAGGCCATAAAGGAATTGTATTTAGTACATTTCCACTACGATTACCAGTCGATTGTTCACTGGATCTTGCTCCTACCTGCTATCATAAACAACAAATTGGAAAGGAGCAACTGCCCCTGCAATTTACATACGTGATGAATTGCAGTCAGAACACAGAAGTATTTTAGTTGGTTCCTATTATTTCAAAATCCATTTTTACACAAATAATAATTACCACCTGTAAAGTACTGTATATTGATAATAATAATTAAAATCATAATTAAAATAATAATAATAATAATAATAATAATAATAATAATAATAATAACAAAATGATAACATCTAATTTTATATCTCCATGACTAGACACACTGTAACTGGAGATTGAACTAAGGTATGAGATTTTTTCGGGGGGGGGGGGCAGGAGTGCCTAAATTTTTATCACATGAATACTTAGTGTGTTACACATCTTTCTATAACAGACTCCATTCTGTAGGTACTAGTTTTGATGAATTGTTTCCGTTTCTTTATAATTTAACTATACAATATTTGCTTAATTAAATTTAATTAAAGGTATCGAGTTAATAAAATTTAAATTGTAGGACGTAAGTCTGCCGCGTCGCGTCTGACACCATAAGTAGCACCAGAAATGGCAATGCATAGAACACACCCTTTTAAATTTTGCGCACCACCATATTTTGCACAAAAATTTCTGAAATTCTACCACACTTAAAAAAAATCCTGGCCAGAGGGCTTTATTATTATTATAATTAATATTTCTCTTACCGGTACTTTATCATATTATAACTGTCATCATACTTATCGTTAATATTATTTTTGGGTTGTTCCAGTACTCTATTTATAACATTTTATTCTTGACTACGCCTACATGCAATTACTGTGCTTTTTATTGTTAGAGAGGGACAAATAATGAACATGTGTGTAATCTTACGTATTCGAGTTTTCCGTTGAATTTCTTTTTGGTGACGCAATTATAACGCTTGAACTACATGCATATATATGCATACGGCTTCGATGATAACGCCCTTTTATACTGAATGCAGTGGAACTCTTCTCATTTCTTGGTGTGTATGAAATGACCTCATCATGCTTGAGAAACCAGTCTGCTTCAATATCTGCCAATTGCTAAATACATAAAACATGTATTTTTAGAAATTAAAGGAAACTAAAACCACTATCATCTAAAATATGTATTCCCTATACAAACATGATGAAAAGAGATCACGAAATTAACTTATACATTGTTTATTAGGGTATTTTAAATGACATTCTAATTTGCTTTCAAAAGTGTTAGCTTTTTGATAAGTGTTAGATATATATATATCTGTCTCTTATACACATCTAGATGTGTATAAGAGACAGAAATAATGTTATGGCATTACGCTATTAAATATCCTGGAGAAACGTCAACCGCCTATGTTATTATTTCTTGTCTCCATTCTACTATATGTTCATCAGGATATACGTGCACCCATGACTTCTATGCATCATATATATGAGGCATGTTGTGGCAAAATGGCTAAGTTGTAGCAAAAATTGAAATTTAAATTATTGGTATTTTTTTAGAAACGAGGTCATTCATTCAAATTGGACATTTCAAGACTAAGTTATTGGAAATTGAAAGTACAGTACTGTTAGAGTCAAGATAAACATGATTTTGATTAATTGACTTTCAAAGTTATTTGTGCATACATTGTTTAATAGAATGAACTATCAAAATAACGTTAAATACACAATGTGTTGACCAATTCCAGAATTGATACGTTGGGACATGATTAATAAGACATTAAACTGTTTATCTATAGTGAAAAAGAGATCACACTGGTGGTTATTCAGTCATTTATTAAAAACAAAAACAATATTTTTATTCATTATCTAAATATTAAAAAACAAATACACAAAATAAAATAGGAATACATTAAACCCGTAAATCCTAAAACATTTAAAACAATTAAAATACAATAAAAGCGCTTTTGAAATTAAAGAACACATTAAATGTCAAAAATTCTTCAAAATGCTTTTGAAAAATTCATAAATTTTCAATGATTTAAAAGATCAAAAAAAGAACAAGGAATGATTATTATTTAAAGAATATCTCAGTATTTAAAGAAATAAAAACAAAATTTAATCCATTAATGCTTTTTGATGTAAATAATTTAAATAAATAAATGTAAACCAATATATAATAAAACTAGTATTTGATACACTTACAGATTATTTTATGTACATAACTTATTTCTATTATAGTTTCATTTCGTATAGTCAATGAACATACAAATTAAAATTGTGTTATTAACAATTTACTACAGCAATGCTCTCACATCATAAATTTCAATCTCAATCATTGGCTTGGTGAATGGAGGTGGATGACAGGACGGAGAATGATGGTCGCGTAAAGAATGATAGGGTAGAGAATGATGACGCGATAAAAATGGATGACCAGATAAAGAATGATGACGCAATGGAGATGGATGGCCGGATGGAGAATGATGCCAAAGTGGAGAATGATGCGATTGAGATGAATGACCGGGAAGAAAGCGATGACGCGACGGAAATGGATGGCCGGGCGGAGATAGATGGCCGGATGGAGAATGGTGGCCGGGTGGAGACAGAGGGTGGGTGTGAGATTAACGAAAACCGAGATGCGCCGATCGGCAACAAAGACGAAGAAAGATACTATTGTTAACAAATTTTAATTTCACATTAAATAGTTTACAATTAATTTAGAATATTAGAGTTTAAATGAGACAAACAACTCTGAGGAGTTGTTGTCGAAAACATGTCGAAAACATGTTAATTTTTGCACCCTCATGTTAACAGACTACAAACAATCTTGATTGTATAAACATTTTTTTATGCACACAGAAAAAATATTTTGCCACCATGCAAAACATCCTGCAAGAAAAGATTCACTTAGTTCAAAGATGGACAGCAACGAAAAAAAATCAACAAAAATTTCTAAAGCATGTCATATGGGCAAAGAAAGACATTTATAACATCTCACTGCAATCGGACGGAGCCAGCACGACGACAAATCACAAATGATGATCCCAAGCGAAATGTTTCTTGCAAGTATTACCTCCCATCTGTCAATTTGGACGTTGTAAATGTCTGTCAAACCTTTTTCTTAAGAACATTAGAATATTCAAGCAACAAAGTAATAATACGTTCCTTAAGAACTAAACCAATCGGAGAAATCTTCGCACTGGAGGATCGTAGAGGGAAACATAAAAATATCACGTCGTAAAAGAATAAAATAAAAATAAAATCATAGAACATATAAATAGTTATTAATAAGCCACTACCGCAGAGAATATGCACCGTTATGAAAGTACTTGCCGCCTGAGCTTAGCTGCCATAGAAATGTATCAATATTTCTACCAAAACTGTCCTGGTTTTTGTAAATATGAAAAGTATCGGTGGGTTATAAAGGAACTAAACCAGGGAACAGTAACATTTCACTGTTCCCTGACTAAACATTGGTTTTGGAAGCTTAGATCTCAAAAATGTAAACATTTTTAATGAGCATAAAAAAGTATGACAACATGAGTTTTAGAATGTTGACACACAAAGCTGCAGCATTTGTAAGGGACATGAAACCCACACAAAAGATGCTAAGATATCAAAGGCCCTCTATCAACAGGATAAAGACAGAGAAAAGCAGGAGTATGAGGAATTTGTATATGTGGATATGCAGAAAATATTTATGCTACCCCAGATACCTGGGTGTAAACAGTGCCAGTTTAAGCGAAGGGTAATTCGGTTCAATGAAACATTTGCTTACGGTATCTTGGCAAAGCAAGCAAAGCCATTCGAATATTGTTGGACGAAAGTGTTTCTGGCCATGATGGCTCTGATGTGTCAAGCACCTTTGCTAAGTTTATTAACCACCCTGGAATTAGAAATTTAAAAAAACCTAACGTTTCGGATGGACAATTGCTCTTCTCAAGAAAAATATAAGATTTCTTTAAACCGCAGTGACAAATGAAGTACACAAAAGAAATGGACGCAATGAAGTGAGATTCCGATACTTTGAAACAGGCCACACACTAATTTATGTCAGCTGACTCATTCCACCACCAAGTAGAATTAGGCATGTAGAGGATCAAAAACGTATAAGATAGTAATGATTTTAATACAATTTTAAACTTCGAAATGAAAAAGGATCCAGTAAAAGCCTTGTAACTCTAAAGCTACACGACGTAAAGGAAGTTGTTTTTTAAAAAGAGAAACAAACCTTTGCTGGAAAGATGCATACATGGACACTTCATATAAATCAGGGGAATTTTTTAAGAAAAAAACGGCACAGGCAATCGAGGATGGTTCTTACAAACCCGAAACGTTAAAATTACCAAGAGGCATGACAATTGCTAAAAAAAGAGGCAACTAAATGTTTTGTTACCTTTGATGCCAGAAAACCGAAAATCATTTTCTTTAAATCTACCTAATGGAAATTTTACTGACATTGAGTAATGCAATTGTGAAAGAAAAAGTGTAAATAACTCTAAAAATAAACTGTAAAAGAACCTATAAATAACTAATAAAACAGTTGGAGCATTGTAAATAAAACTTCTAAAATGGTTTGTACTCATTTGTTTAACCTATGTTTTTATTGCATCATTATCATTATTGCAATGTATATTATAACTTAATAAATATAAATTTATTAATTTTATAAAAATTAGCCCATTATTTTTTGCAGCAACATTTTTATAAAATGTTTGTTATAAATCTATAAATCAAATTTCATATACATATACATTTCAATAAATTGATTAATAATGCATGTATATAAACACTTTAGAAGATAATGTCCAATTTCAAAAATATTTCTCTTACATTCATATATACTTTGAAAAAGGCATTATCTCCATTTTGACCCACTTAATAATAATATTAATCAATGAAAAGTATGTGGCAATTTTTTAAATAATATATCTAAGCAAACCATAGTTTAACAAGTTTTAAATCATTTGTACTTTTCTTGGGAAAAACTCAAAAGCGTTTGCTCATTTTACTTAAAACTATGATTTTGTTACTTAATGCCTTTTCTCAGAGGTGGGCAGTATTTAATGTTGATGCTATTGATATGTCTGATGATCATGTCATACCGTATTTACAATTGAAGTAAATTTTACGTTTGATGATGAGGCAGCATATAAGCCAAATATTGGTGTCCATTTAGTGAATTTGTTCTGGATCATTGTGGGAACAACTAAAGAGAAAGGGGTTAGACTGCAAAAGTGAAGTAGTCAATAAAAGTTTGAAACCATATGGTACAACAAAATACTGCCAGTGTAAAAGAAAAGTTTCGGACGTTAGTGCAGGTTAGTAGTCATAAGATAGACAATGTGACATTTTCAGTTGCAGAAGCACAGTGTAGACCATTATTGGAGAGGAAAAACCTCAATAGATTTGCATGTTGTAAACATTTTGCTGCCGGTAAATTCCATTGAAGATGACTACAGAGAGGTATTTAGTGGTAATAAAGTGGGAAAATTAAAAGACTACCAAGCTGAGTTACATGTAATGGCAGATGTTAAGCTAATTGTTCAGCCTTGTAGAAAAACACTGTATAGTCTAAGGCCAAACTAAAATATTCTTAAAACAAAATGTTGAAAACAAGTTGTAGGGACTGATTGATGTAAGGACAATTCAGTGACGGATCAAGGGGAAAGAGGTAAATAGGGCGGCTAAACAGCAATAACCGTTACTTATAAGAAAGAAAATATATACAGTTGTATAATAATAATAAAATTAACATGTCTAAGTAATATTATAATTATATTCAGAAATTAAATTGTTTTAGCAATTTTTTAAAAGTTTTTAAGTGACCAAATTAAATTTAAAAAAAAAGAAAAACTGATACGCACCGAATAAAGTTTAAAGGAGGAATTCCCCTTTACTGAATAGGACCCACTGTGTAGAAGGCTAGAAATAGAAGACAAACTACGCCTCACCTGGATTAACTGGTCATCTTCAATGTTAAACTGACGTATTATATATGTCACATGACTAGTTTCTTTTTCAACCATGTCCTTAGTGCGTCGGTCAGCCTCATTCACAAGACTTTTGAACATATCAAGTGTCTGGGCGTTCTGTGATTGAAAGTTGTCATAATTGTCGTTCTTTTTCAAATCGTACTCCAAAGCCTGAGAATATGAAGAAACGAATAATTCAGCTTTATGTAGAATTATGTGGGTATAATTATTAGATAGAGATCTATATATTTTTTAATTCTTGGTATGTTTCCTCATCTGTTACACAAAGGACTACCCATACCATAAAGTATATCGAACGATCGAAAATTCAAGATTTTTTTTGTCTTTCGTGGGTGTAGCCCACCTTTATTCTCTCTTTATTCATTGTTTTCATTTTTTCCAATTACTCTTTCAGAAATATAAAACATTTCATAATTTATAAATAAAATACATTATAAGGTAAAAGAAGGACATGTAATTATGTTTCTTAATAAAACACTTGATAAAATAAACTTCAAATTAAGAAGCTTATAATATACATAACATATGCATTATGCATACATATACACATACATACACACGA